TGAGAAACAACAACAACAAACAAGTGGTTCCACCCGCGGCTAAGGACCGTTCGCAAAAAACAAAATGCTGCAGACAGGGGACGCCGGCGATGCTCGCTCGATGCGTTGATTGATCACATTTTTTACCGGAAAGCAATACAGGTTTATATGGTATCCTAACGCGCTATCCACCTTCCCTCCGCGCCGTCACTGCACTTGAGGCAGTAGATGGGCACTGGACAAACGAAGGACCATGGGACTTTACGCGTCCTACTAACGTATCTACGGATATACGGAGATCATGTATCTGTACCTTACGCAGGCTGTACAAATACGTGACAGAGACCATCCATCATACATACATACTACGGAGACCACGAAAGGGTTAGTCTAGTCTTCTTCAGATAATTGTCAAATGCGCGAGCTAAATCATGTTCTTCATAGCCATCAAACGAGGAGACAGCGGGCCCAAAAATAGTCTAGATACGGCACCAATCAACGGGGCGGGAGGGGGGCGGGAGGAAACGGCGCGGGAAGAAAGCAAGCGAGAAGAGACCGACCGCGTGAAGTGACATGTTGCGGTTGAATTTCAGCGACTAGTTTTTCTGTTGCCCTCTCCCCCGTTTGCTGTCGCGTTCAGACTGTCTCTACGGATATCCCTGTCTCTGCTCGTCTCTGTGCGAGTTTGTTCATGTCCTCGTCTGTCTTTGGTTTATTTCGTTTTTGTTCTGTTTTTTTTACTGGCACGTACTGTTGACCCTTGGGGTCCTTCTGGAAGGCTACTCCCCAGGTTGGTGGTGCGCACGTTCCACTATTTATTTATTTATTTGTTCCTGATTCTTTTGTTTTCTTGTATTTTATCGCTCTGCTAACCCTTGGGGTCCATTTTATTTTGGTATACCTTTTCTAGGTACGTTAGCCTGTGACCACGGAAATTGACCGAGTCAAGTGCTGGATTAGTACGGAGAGATTGAGACAGAAGGAGGTACTGGATAGAGAGACCGGGATGGTTTTTAATGTGAAGACAACATAGATGACAACTTAGGTTTGTAGCCGATGAGGGAGATGCACCGAAGACGTGGTACGAACACAGAGTGTAGTTCTAGCTCCACATCGGATCGATGTAAGATTTGTGCCCAGGTTGAGATACTGAGTGCGGTCTGATCAAGTCTGACTGATGTCGGCGGACGAAGTCGGCCGCTGGAAGGAAAAATGTGCTGTCGCACGCGGCGTGCACATCGGATGGCTTTGAAACTTGGCACAGAGTTGTGTCGACTGGTTCATCGTTTTTCCTCTCACGTTTGGCGGACATCGGCGAGCAGGCCGGGAATAGTGCGAAAAAAAAATGGTTCGGGCTCGGGTGGGGGAATAGCAGTCGGATTTGGCCAACGCTGGTTGTGCATAGGCGCGCTCGCTCTGGTGGCCACCAGAGATGCGGAGACTTGCGGGGCATCCCTATTCTGTCTTAGCGCATCGAACTGCGGCTAGCATGAAACTGTATCTTGCTCGGTTGTGGAGCACGTGTCGGAAAAAATATCGTAGAATTGGTATCGAGGCGTGCGGTGCCTGTGACGACAGGAGGTGGTTTTCTTGGTGTACACTAAAATGACGTCAACAGGATGCTTGGGTGGACATAATGCTTGCGTTTGGCACGAGTGTTGCCTCGATTGAAATTCCAAGAAAAACTCTCGAGGTACAGACTAGACTATATAGGTAAGGCGAAGGCACCGCCGCGATCTTGTGCTCCTACCTTTCGCGAGCCGAGAAAAGTCGGCCGTGGTTAAATATCTCCGGTGAAGATTCTTGAAGTTTTTTTTCCCTCAGTTTCCGAAGCAGCAACCCTAGACCTACCAACACACGACGATTTAAGTGATCTATCGTGTACGCCTTTCTGTTCCTTTTTTTTTCGTTTTCCTGCCTAGGGTTACCTCGCATAGCGTGTAGAGGCGAGCGGAGTGGCCTAGACTCTCTCTCGTTGACCTCTATTGACTTGCAGACCCTCGGGCCCATTTTTTTCGTTTACCTTTTGTTGGGTAAGTTAACATGTGACCCACGAGAATCGACGAGTGTTGGACTAGTACGGACAGAAATGGTAGGCAGAGAGAACGGAACGGTTGTTAATATGAAGGCAACAATATACATTTCAAGTCCACAAGCAATTTTCAACATCGGGCAACACGACAGTCGGATTGCCGGGTCTGTACACTCTCCCTTTCCCCGGGTAAAATACTTGTTTATTTTGCCCCCGACGATGTTTCAATGGCGTCACACGGATAAAACTAGCGGCAAGTAGCCGGCACATGAGTCATGTGCGCTTGAGCTTGGCGTACGCCATCAGCACATATTTCCACTAGACTAATCATCAGCAGTGCAGCATTTGGGGAAGACGAAGTTTAGTTGCCCTGCCGGGCTGTTCGACGCTTTTCCCACCACCGATAATTCTACTCTGCAACTACGCCAAGTGCGTCTCTCTTTACATCTACATTATGTACGCGATCAGAGCTGGCTCACGTTGCCCACTTAAGACCATTATAGCTCCGTCGAGACAAAGAGGCAGAAAGGATGACTTTATAATGTAAGTATCAATTACTCAGTCCATACATAATAGACTGCTGTCGATCCGCCTTGGATGTCTCGGAAGAGACAGCCGCACCTCGGTCTACTGCTGCAACAGTATGACTACTGCAACCGCCAACAGCCTCGGCACCGCAATACACCAGGGGGGGGGGTGTCTACCGTATCATAAAACTTCGAAACTCGTTGATGACATCATGGGACCCCCAACACCGACAGTTGTCACGAGGCAGGGCCTCAAAAGAAAGCAATATCAATCCGTCAACAACGATTGATGGCGCACGCTTCTTGGCCAAACTGCACCCAGGAATGTGTTGGCTATCCCTCGCCAGAGGGAAAGTTATGTGTGCTGTGCCATGACCATGAATCGCCAAGTCACAGCGACCGAAAGCGTCGACGCTACAGGCAACTACGCAATCGAAACTTTGCATTCCTTTACAAGAAGCTGCCGTGCAACCCACTCGCCCGTCATAATGGAAAAACCAAGCTACTACTACTCTGAACTACAACAAGAGGGGGACCTACACGCCCACCAGACAACGCGAACACATTCAGCCGTCAACCCCAGTAAACCAAGCCCCCCCCCCCCCCCCCCCCCCCCCCCCCCCCCCCCCCCCCCC